CATTGGAATTAAGATAAAAATGTTGCAATGCATTCCTTAAGAAGTAGCAAAGTAACTACGTTTGTATAAAACAGAAAAAGCGCTCGTAAATTTTCAAAATTTAATCAAACGTTATCTAAAGATATTTTGAAGTAAAACTACTCAATAAACTATGAATAATTTCATAGTGAAAGCAAATTTGTCATTAGAATTAAAATAAGAATGTTACAATGCTTTCAATAAGAAGGGACAGAGTAATTTTACGTTTGTATAGAACAGAAAAAGCGCTCGTAAATTTTCGAAATTAAAACGAATAAATTTTAGACATATTTTTGCATAAAATTACTGGAAAAAGTGTGAAGAATTTTATAGTGAATGCAGATTTGCAATCGTAATTAAAATTAGAAGATTACAGCGTAGTCTATTAAAAGGCGTCATTCCTTTGATTTATGCAGTAAACAGAAAACGCGCTCGTATATATTCGATACTAAATCCAACTAATTTTTGCTACATTTTACGATAAATCTACTAGAAAACGATGGAGAATTTTGTTTTAAAAGCAATTTTGTTATTAAAATTAAGATAAGAAAGTTACAAAGCTTTTAATAAGAAGGGGTAGGGTAAGTTTACGTTCATATGGAACAGAAAAAGCGCTCGTAAATTTTTGATATTAAAACGAATAAATTTTAGACATATTTTTGGATGAAATTACTCGAAAAAGTGTGAAAAATTTCATAGTAAATGCAGATTTGCAATCGGAATCAAAATAAGAAGATTACAGCGTAGTCTTTTAAAAGGCGTCATTTCTTTGGTTTATGCAGTAAACAGAAAACGCGCTCGTAAATTTTCGATATTAAAACGAATAAATTTTAGACATATTTTTGGATGATATTACTCAAAAAAGTGTGAAGAATTTCATAGTAAATGCAGATTTGTAATCGGAATTAAAATTAGAAGATTACAGCGTAGTATATTAAAAGTTGTACATCTCTCTATTTATTAATACAACAGTAAAAATCGCTCGTAAATTTTCGATATCAAAACGAATAAATTCTGGGCACATTTTTTAATAAAACTGCTGAATAAGGAATAAATAATTTCATAGTGAAAGTAGACTTTTCATGGGAATCAAAATAAAACGGTCACAAAACGAAATATACTTTAGAACCACAATCATAAAAAATCCAATACAGTTGTCAGTTGTGAATTATCGTGGAAGAAGTAATATTTAAATAAACAATAATTAAATTGTTTGTTTTATTCTATTAATTTATGTTTATTATACTATAGTTTCAATATGTATCAGTTATAACCGTCAAATATTTGAAAGAGAAAATGGATTGCTTACAAGGGTTTCCCAGATTATGTATTTTAGATCCGTGTTCAGTAATAAACGGTAAGGGGGAGAGAGGGAGGAGAAATTACACCAAACTGTGTAATCGTTGTACACCTTAGTAACCAGAACGTCTGTTTTTGTCAACAGCAACTCAAGTCCAATAAAAAAATTGGTCTACTGACGCAAACTGCTTTCACCTGGTGAACCCGGATGTGTGAAAGTGGTTACCAATTTCGTGAGGGTCTTAACACAAAGGTTGGTATGTCCTAACGAATCCTTTTAATGCAACCATAGTTGTGCTTCAGTGATGAATCATACACCAGACTACGTGATATAATACGTTGAAAAAAGGAGTTGTCAATAAATATAAAATAACTTTACATTGTTGTTGCATAAACAATACATTAATGTAATTAATATATTAGTTTTAAATTGAAATATGCAGAGAAACGTGTAGTTAAAATCAACTTTTTATAATAACATTTAAATAAAATAGTCATAATTCGTTCTCTTTTTTATGTACGAATATGTTTGAGACAGAAAGCTGTCCCAAATTTTCAAAACTAAACTACTATTTCTAGAGGTATCTTAGGGCAAAACAACACAAAAAAACACGTAGTGAATGCAAATTGTTGGTTTTAATTACAGAGACAGTGCATTCGATTATAAAACAATAAATCGTTTGTAATAATACAAAATTAAAATGAATGCTGTCTTGTTACGGTTATTACGCGAATTCGACTGATTCGAATGATATATAGCAGATTAAGATGAATTCTAAGCGTTTTACTTATTGTTCTTTTATTTTTATGAGATGAGTCCCTTGATGTAAAATTTAATCAGGATAACTTCCTTAATTGTTTCTGGTTAAAGAAACTAAAGTAAGTTTGTAAATGTTTTGCTTAAAACCTTACAGTTATCTAACTGATTTTTGAAGTTAGTAAGTTTAGTATTATCGGCTAATACGAAGTCTGAATGAGCTTTGTCAATTACGTAGATTGCCGAAAAATTGCGTTTGTTACAAAGAAAGGGAGCGTGATATTAAAATTTGTGAATCATGAGATTATAAGGGGTCAATGCGTTACTTTCTCTGTGACACAATGGCTCTAGTTGAACAATCCAAAATGTCGCGAAACAGCGTCATTTCGGAATTCCGTCAACTTGTTGAGAAAGTGAGTTGTTTATTGGTGAAGTCCGCGGATAGGATTCCGGATTTGTTTAAAGTGCTTCCGAAAGCTTCGGTTGGAGCTGGTGTTCCACTAGCATGCGTTGTACTGAAGAGGGGGCCAACTTTCACGCTGATATAAAACCAACTGAACATTTTAAAGTATGTTACTTTTAAAGATATTGACGGAGTTTCGTTTCGGACATTGTAACAGCGTGTAGTGAGGGTTATTATTTTTTTTTTTGTATGGCATGAAGAGGTGCTATTACTTATCAGTGCAATTTTTGTGACTTTTACTCTAGTGAGAACGCGAGGAGTTGATAATCTAAGGATAACTAGTGCTAGTGATAATAAGTAGTAAGTATCACCGGTGAGTGCTTCTTATCAGTGGCTTGCTTGCTAACAGACAACGGAAGTGAATCGCAAAAGTCGAACGAGTACTTTTCAACCCTTAAGTGAAATATATTATCTAAATCTTCTGCAGCAACTGGAATAAAAATGCATGAAGGTCCTTTGACATCAAAAATTTTCATGAATTATCATTTATTGGGCCATGAAAATTTTTATTGGAATAATTCCAATAAACGGTGCGTTTGTTTTCAAACAAAAAGTTAGAATCGCATTTTTCTTCTACTACGGATTACTCTTTGTTAAGTTTTCGTAAATATAACTAAACGTAGGTATATTCCATTTCCACATTACACACTGTCGTGTTAATTTTTTAACAAATTTACAGTTGCTCTACTGCTTAAAAAAGTACTAAACAAATGAAACTTGAAAACAAGCCCCAACGGTTTCCGAATCCGTTAAGTTTTTTTTTGTCTCCATTTTTAACATTTTTTTTTAATGTTATAGAAGAAATACAACTCACCATATACAATTTGTACGTATATAAGATTCCAGAATTACTTAAACAAATAATTAAAACAAACTACATTGCATTTAAGTGTTAACTTTATTGACTCTACAGTTGCTTTGATCTATTGGACCTTTTACAAGAACTCTTGGGGTACCTCAAATTTTCACTTTAATGAAGCATTATTGACTCTAGAATCGATCTGACCTATTGAGCCTTTTTCAAGAGCATCCTAGAGTACCTAAGATGTTTCGACCTTTATTGAGCCTCTTCCAAGAGCACCTTACAGTGCAGTACCTAAAATGCTCTTATAAAAGGCTCAATACGCCGGAACAATTGTATAGTCAATACTGAATTAAAATGAACATTTAAATCTATTTATTTTATACGAATGTTCGCAAACTAAACAATTAGAAATAGAAGTTTCGTATTTATGGTAAAATTAAATTGTAATTTGGTCAAAGATACTGTTTACGATATGTTTTTGGGCCTCATTATTACTGTATGATGGCAAACTTTTGACCAAGAAGAGACATCCGTCAAGAGTTGACTAATTAAGATAATGGTTATACATATGCGGAGGTATTTGGCAGACAGTACCATGCTTACCTTACAATCTGTGTGGAGGTACTACATCTCTTTTGAGCACACAGTAAAGGAAAGCAAGGCAGTATGTCAACAACCGCTTGGCGCATGCACAACTTTCTCGCGTCCATGCATAAGATGACAGGTCAATTAGATAGAAACTGATCTCAATTTTATCTTTAACGTAAATCAATGATCAATTTTTTCATCACCAAAATGAAGTAAATTTTCCATCATATTTTTCTTCGTCATGTAGAAGTTCTCAGAGGGATGTTCTGTAACAAAAATGGTACCAAATGTATTACTGACAATGCTCTTAAACAAGTCTCTCCCTACTGGGCCATGACAAATGGATAAACAGACGAATACGTACGAAAATAAAGAAACTACCCCTATATGTT